ATTAATTCTAACTTGAATTAATAGAAAAATTCAAGCGATTAACTTTTGTTAAGATTTGTATACTATGACAAGGTAATATACTTCAATTTGTTGACTAAACATGTTGGAGTAATTTGAGGACACATTTAATTATCGCATAGATTTTTAATCTGATATTGAATTCTTTTGGAAATATTCTGAAAAGAATGTTTGGTTTCATGACCTTCTTCTCATTTCTCATTTCTTGCTATGAAAGGGAAATACTATAAATTAAGGAATGGCTTTGTCCATGATGATGATGATGATGATGATGATGATGATGATGATGATGAGAGAGAGAGAGAGAGAGAGAGAGAGAGAGAGAGAGAGAGAGAGAGAGAGAGAGAGAGAGAGAGAGAGAGAGAGAGAGAGAGAGAGAGAGAGAGAGAGAGAGAGAGAGACTCTCTAAAGGAAGATGTCACTCATAGCCGTGTAGATACGTCTTTGGGGAAAATAGCGATGCAAGAGAGGTACGATGGAATCGACTGTAAAAAAAGACATTATTCTGGCTCTTCAATGAACGAACCTTATTTAAATAATATATATATATATATATATATATATATATATATATATATATATATATATATATATATATATACACACATACACAATCTTACATTCTAGAAATACATCTCATAAAGATTTTATATTTAACATACACGAAATACATATAAAATGATACTTTTCCTCCAACTTCCTACATTTGATTAATTTCTGCTTTTCACAATAAATACAAGTACTTAGATCTCTACTGAATTCAAGGAAGCCAAAGAGTATAAAATTCAATAATTGTATGTATATATATATATATATATATATATATATATATATATATATATATATATATATATATATATATATATATATATATATGTATGTATGTATGTATGTATGTATGTATGTATGTATGTATGTATGTATGTATGTATGTATGTATGTATGTATGTATGTATGTATGTATGTATGTATGTATGTATGTATGTATGTATGTATGTATGTATGTATGTATGTATTCATGTGTGTATGTGTGCGTTCGTGCGTGCGTATGTATGTATGTATGTATGTATGTATGTATGTATGTATGTATGTATGTATGTATGTATGTATGCATGTATGTATGCATTTGTGTATGTGTGTGTGTGCGTTCGTGCGTGCGTATGTATGTATGTATGTATGTATGTATGTATGTATGTATGTATGTATGTATGTATGTATGTATGTATGTATGTATGTATGTATGTATGTATGTATGTATGCATGCATGCATGCATGCATGTATGTATGTATGTATGCATGTGTGTATGTGTGTGTGCGTTCGTGCGTGCGTATGTATGTATGTATGCATGTATGTATGTATGTATGTATGTATGTATGTATGTATGTATGTATGTATGTATGTATGTATGTATGTATGTATGTATGTATGTATGTATGTATGTATGTATGTATGTATGTATGTATGTATGTATGTATGTATGAGCTTTAAGTGTGAACCAAATAAGGCAGGAACGAATAATGAACAAACATTTGAAATAGAAGTGTATAGAAACATCAGAAGTAGTATATAAAATATAGTACTAAGAAATATAAATGTTCAGTTGTTTGTATCATTCATTTTGTGACACAGTGTCGTAACTAACGCGGGCGGGGGGGGGAGCTGACGGGGTGATTGTCCTGGGTGCTATAGGTTTCGGGGCTTTAAATAGCTAATTTTGTTTTTTGAAAATAACCAAAATTGTGTTTACAGATTTGTTACTCTCTAATCCAGACCGTTCAGCAAATTACATAACGCACCTGTAATACAAGAGTTTACAAACTCATTGGATGCTAGCGTGTGCTTCAAGGACAAACTTCAATTCTAGACACAGGAGCCCCCCTTCCCCCCACAACTAGGTGATCCTCTTTCGCAAAACAGCGAGTGAGAGGGATTCAGACTTTGATCAATGCTATCCCCGGGACATTAATTAGTTCAAAATAGACTCCAATTTTCGAATCCGTGAGACTATCCCTAGTTGTTAGATTTATGTGAAGGGATATGGAAGTCTATATTTTTCTAAGCGCCATTAGTTTTCGTTAATCTCAACTAATGCCAATATTTTTAATATCGACATTTTAATTCTTGTCAGTTGCTGTTTGGTTGAATCGTGTTTGTTTTGACAGCTGTGTATTGCGTTTGGTGGTGATCAGTGACTTCAAACTTCAAAACGTTACAGTGATTGTAGAGCAATATACATTAGATTTTAGTTTGGTTTTAATCCCGCCAAATTTGGGAGCACTGTTTTGAAGAAAAAGTAAGTTTTAGGAGCTCATGTCGCTTCCCAAAATCCCCCAAGCTGGTAGGAGGCGGCACACGAACCCATTAACACTCTACCGGCCTCGACCCTTCGGACCTTGTATTCTGGCCCGTTGGGCTTATCCTCGTCGCTCTGGGAGCCATTTACCCTTAGGAAGAAAAGAAACTGCAGTTATTACAGATCATAAATTTTGAATGAGTCAAGATTATATGAAAGTGAGGTTTTAAAAAAGAAGTTGATATAACGTATTCTTCAACTCATTATTCTGCAAAAAGGAAATTAATTATGAAATAGTGTGTGTGTGTGTGTGTGAGAGAGAGAGAGAGAGAGAGAGAGAGAGAGAGAGAGAGAGAGAGAGAGAGAGAGAGAGAGAGAGAGAGAGAGAGAGAGAGAGAGAGAGAAAGAGAGAGAGAGAGTAGGTTTCGATTCGAATGGGAAACCGAGTTTAAAGAGGTCCTACCTGGCAGTGGGGACAGAAGGTGAGAAATGTATTTTGAACATAAATCGATAACTTCTTTTTAGTGAAGTATCGACCATGTTCATCGCATTCAACAGAAAATCCATTTTTGCCAAGATTTAAAACTATATGTGTATTGCCAATAGGTTTTTTTTATTCAACACTTGTAGATAAATAAATTTTGGTTGTTTTCAAAGGCTGGTCACATAAAGGCGGAATTTTAGTCGCTTATGTAATTGCTTTTGTATATCCATTTTTAAAGTTTATATATAAGTTGCATATCAACCAACCTACATGCCATAATAGTATAAGGGTCCATCAGTTTGGTGATTTAGTGAATTATAAGTAAAAGTCAAACATAATATAATTGATCTCCTGAAACTCAGTGGATGACCTAGAGCCTGAAAACAAAAATGCGCATTTTTAACATTTGTAGATATTCTTGACATACGCTAGTCAATAACCAAAGCATGAATTTTCTTTTACTCATTTTAATCCGAAATTTTTCGGAAAGTTGGATTTAGTCCGGATATTGTTTATAACATCACATTCAACCACCATGTTGGCATACCTCACAGATCTCAAAGATGTGATACATTCATAAATGTAACTACCGGTATGTATGTAAGATTCGATGAAAAAATGTGACAAATACAACTATTACTCAACAAAGAATTGGAATGATTTTCTGATGAAAAATTAATACGTATTTAATACCATCAATTCGTATGAATATTACTCGAAAATTTACTTGCATCCATTACTGACGAAAACTACAGAAGTACGGGTACATTAAAAAAGTCCGTGATACGCACCACCCGATAACAAAAAATACCCAGGTATACCATACCGGCAATACCTCACACTCCTAATATCACTTCGACAACCACTACATATATGTATGTACTAATAAATATACACATACACATATGTGTGAAAAGATGCACAAATAAGATAACCGAAACAGACTTGAAAATTATATAACTGATGAGCTTTCGTGTCATTATAATCCAATCGAAACTGATAATCCAAAATTTAAATCTGCATCTGCCAATCAAAGTCAATATTCTTGTCATTGGTTGATCACAAATTTCCAGGTTTATCTGAAGCTCAAGATTACTTTTTTATATGCAGACCAGCTTTATCTTCTTTGCATTATCTATATTTTATTAACAATGAAATCATTATCAAAGCTGGTCCTTGTTACGACAGAAATAATTCTACCTGGTTAATTGTTGAATTGACTCGCGATGAATGAATTAGACGCATTGGCCTAGTAAAACCTTGTCAAGAACAAAAAGCTCAATGATGACAACATTGAAATCAGTTTCAGACATTCCTTCTCTTTTTTCTTTAATCAGTCCATTGTTTTCTTTAGGAAACAAACTATGAGTTGCTTGAAGGAGAATAGCAAGCATAACACTATCACTATGTATATAAAATATTTACTATTTTTATAGATATTTTCAAATAAAATATTATGAATCATCGCTTGGTTTTGGCTTCTTGTTTCGTTCGTACACTTTATCTTGGAATGAGTTCATCGTTGTTTAAAAATATCGTCATACTTTACATGAAAATTTGGATAAACTTTTGGAAGTCTTTTATTTACAATGATTTGCATGGTTTCAACATATTTTATTTTTTAAATTGTGCAAATTATTAGCACGGAGATTGGGATTCTTTTGTTTTCTACTGATCGCAGAATTTGTTCAACTTTTTTCTTTCTGAATGACCAATGGAATAAGTGTACAGCATATAATTCTAATTAATAAGATAAAGTTCATAAAATAAAAAATTAATTAAGAGTATGCAGCTCGTGTAAAACTATCTCATTATTGGCCAGTTTGTTTTCATATTGTGATTGTTGTAAATGAAAGTCCTACAAATATGACCACAATGACCATGCAGTACTTTCAAAAAACCTGAAATAATAATGCAATTTTTATATAATATTTTCAAGGTCTAAACTGTGTCCAAATAGTTTTTCTCAGAGGCACAAATCTTGGTAAATAGACTTCATGTGTCTTGAAATTAACTATTTTTATGAAACTGAGTAAAATGATAATGTATACCGCTCCAGTGGCGTAGTGGGTAGAGCGTCCGCCTCGGATGCGGGAGGTCGTGGGTTTACATTACCCTGACAACAGGCCGACCAGTCCTAACACTACCCTCTTAATGCTGAGATTCAAGAGAGGCAGCTGTTAAACACGATTATGTGTTTGGTATGACTCGACAGGGGATCGAACCCAAGACCTCCCGCATCCGAAGGTGACGCTCTAACCATTAGGCCACCGGAGAGATTCTCTTGATTTAAGTATTATGAGAGTTACAAGATGAACAGTGTAATTAAGTATAATATTGACATAAGATACTGAATTGAATTTGTAATTTAGTTTATTTATTTTTTTTAGTAAATAGGTCTTATTTAACACTAAAACTTTCGTCGACCGTCCTAACTTCGTGCCCGTCCTTGGTTAGTGGGTCAATACCTTTCACGACAGCGACAGTAAGTACTGATGAAGAAATATAAAAATAAAATATAAAGATGTACTAGTTGTTCAAGTCAGGTCCGCTGTACACATGTTCGTTTAAAGGATCTTTGCTTTAGCGTGAAACAAAGGACATATCTTTTTGTCACAGCAAAGGCAACACAAAAACGTGGTTACTCTAACATGCACTTTTTTTATACTACGTTAGGAAAAATAACGAAATAGACTAAAATACAAAATGAAAAGTTTGACAGATATATTTAAATAGAAGGGAAAAATCTTTGTGTTTTAATAACGTTGAAAAAATCTGATAAAAATTCACCACGCATGAAAATATGGTAATTTTATCAAAAGTTTTAATAAAAAATGCTTGAAATCTTTTCGTTTATAGTTTTGCAATCGTTGTTTATTGTAATTCATATGCGTGTGAAAGAAATTTATTATATATGTAAATGTTTAATAATGCAGGACATCATACACTATCGAATCATGTATGTTGGCCTAATTTCTACATTCCTGTCTTACGTCACATTGCATTTATTTCGTGGCGACGAACCATGGACGTACTTCGGGAAATGGATATGTCTTGACATGTTTGTAAAAATGGTAGCTGGCAAATAATTTGGAGAGTTTATAAACAATTTTCAACTTTTAATAAATTAGGCAGATATAGTTGAAGACTTTCTGTGTGCGTTTAATCGTTTCACGCAATGTCAAAATATAAGCTTTACATATCACGTTAATAGCACAAACCATGGCTGGTCGATGATTTATATTAAGATGTAAACAAAAAAAAAAAAAAAATTAAAAAGTTAACCACTCTTTGTCCAAATTTGTTCAAAAGCATTTGACTAAATTTCTCAAATATCATTGATAAACTTTATTTTTTAAAATAAATTATGTTGTTTCCACAATCGTAGCATTGCTCAGCTATATGAGTAAAGTTCAGAAGTAGCCTCAGTAAAAAATAAATGGACTAACCTCTTAATATTTTAACACATCATGAAGAATAGGTCCAGATGATACTGATCTATCCAGAAATGTGACCGCTAAAAATAGAAAAACATTAAATGAGTTTTTCTCGAAATCTGCTTGACAGACTCAGGCAAATTTGTCTCTACGTCATTTGTCATTAAAAGAAAACACTAAAATTTGTAATTCCGATCGATATCGATTGCTACAAATGAGGAAATAATATACAAACAAGTCCTATCTACAAAACGCTAATCAGACTAAGAACATATTTGTATGAATGCGTCCTGACGTAAAAGGGCTTTTCAGTTTATACAAATAATGCATATCCACTGTCGATTAAAGCAGTATTCTTTCTTTAAGGTCTTTACAATGATTACATGCAATGTTGATGCGCTAACAAATATGCTCATTATTAACATAAGCAGAATGTGAAAAGGATTGATAGAAAGCTTAAAGATTTTTACATTTTTTTCGAACAATGCAAACTGATAATGAATTCTCAAAAAGCACTCAAGAGAATGCGATGAAATTTGAGTGAAACCGTGCAGGTGTTAAGGGAATTCATGTCTATTCAAATGTTGCTTGCAGATATCAATAATGAAAAGCATCCCATCTGGTAGCTGATATAGAGGTACTGTTTAATATATTTTAGAAACTACAGATGTTATTTTAGGATTCATGTTTTTTCTACTCATATCTAATTAAAATCAATTGTGCAGAATAAAATTTACGTCTCAAAATATGCATCTAATGAAAGATATTAAAGAGAATACCATCCTTTGCCTTCTAATTTGAAATATCTGTAATTTCCATGTCTTCTCAGGGTTTCCACCAGAATTATATACATTGGAAAATAGATCAACAATTACATCAACTCTTTGTACTTAATGACTGAAATCCAAGCATGTTCCCTGAGTTGCCGTCGATTTTCCCTTGATACCTATCGAATTTGGATGAAATTTGCCTTTATGGAATAGAGAAAAATATTACATTTAGCATTAGTGTTCTGGATTTTGCTCCTCTTTAAAATTAACTAACGTTTTTTATCGGCACGGGATCTAGCCACGGATCCTTGGGAGTGTTTAAAAGCTCCACCCGTTGTGTTGTAATTTGCATAATGTCTGTTATTGATGTATAGTTAATGTTGGAAAGTTTGTTTTCCTTTTTTTTGGTAATTACACGGATCCGCTTGTCATGAGTAGACTGGATTATTGACTGGAATCTAAGTATTTATTTTGAATTTGTTCCAGATCTATTATGTTCTGTTTACAGCCCGCTTGCTCAAGTCCTTTATGTAAGTAACAAAGATACTTTTTTCTGTAAACATTTCCGTATCTTAACAATAATTCAAACGTACTCATAAAATTGACCTAGTAAAGACAACAAATATAGCATTCAATATTATGCAGTAATAATTAATAATACATATAATTTGGGGGGTATCAATGTAATCAAGTATTCGGTTTAAACATAATGATTCCAAAATATCGATTCATATTATTGATCGTATTTGATTGTAGTGAATGACATCCTAATCGACCCAACCTTCATTTCTCGCTGTTTCATTATCAAATTTTATAATTTCTGACCGGTTTCTTTACCATAAGGAAAACCCTATTGGTTACTGATCTCATCCTCCGCCATAAAAAGCCGTGTAATTTCTTGCTTCGCTCACTAACCGAAACAATTTCGTATTACTAATGTGTTGAAAGTTCAATTTAAACGTCACTCATGGCAAAAGAACCGATGGTCAGTTTTGTAATATTGCTGGTATTTTTCGCTTGTGTCAGTTGCACTGTGAATAGTAAAAAGGCACACATGTCGTACGTTCCTTCCCGGGATCTTACTTTGATTTTGGACACTAGAATCGCCCGGAGTTTTATAGACTGTTTCCAGTCTTGTGTCCAGAGATCTGACTGTCTCTCTGTGTATTTCACAACGGCTACCAAACTATGCGATCGCAATTCAGCTGAATTGCCGGCAAATGCAGCGAAAACTACCGTCCCGGACATTATTTATGCTGATTCCGGACTATCCCAGGTGAGTGCAAGGGGCAAATACCAATCGAAGTGCCACAGTGCCATGATGAATTTAAATTGTACTTTTTTGTTGAAAATGAGAAAGTATAAATCATTTATGCGTCCAAGTGACATAATAATATGGATGAAGTTAAAAAAATTTAAGATAATAAAACACGTGGTCCGTAAGAATTTTTTAAATAAATAAAACCGTTTTCACGTACGTATTAGTTGTTGCGATCACACATAACAGTTTCCGTTTAAAAACTATGGTTATCAAAGTGGTGAGAAATAGTTTGCAGTCATTTTATCCGCTACGAAAAAATTATAATCATGTCTTTTTGTGATTATGAGTGAGCAAAGACTCGCAATGTAACTTAATCATGTCTACATCGTAAATTATTTTTAAAAAATATATTATTTAATTATGAAGTAAATGACGAGTTGAATGTGGACGACAACGGTTTACAATCCAAAATCAATTATCTGCTTGTTTTTCAAAGAATCAATTTTTTAACTTTCATTACATTTAAATTACACAAATAACATTATCGGATTTCTGGCGTCACAGAATCACTACCATGATGGAATAAAGCAATAACGTACCTTGTCAATTCTTTATCGCAAGTAGCGTAGATTTTGCATAATGAAAATTTCCGCAACCATTTACATTCAGAGTTTTACGCTAAAGTGTGCAATATACGTACAAAATTGTACATTTCCTGGAGATTTTTTTTTAGAAAACTGATGAATGTTGCTCTTTGTTTGGCATATCCAGCAATCAAGCATACTATAAATAAAGAGTCAGATAAATAAAGAGGCTTAGGAATCACATCGATGAAAATTACAACGAAACAGAGAAAAATATGATTATTTTTTTTATCTGATAGAATATATCTTGTATTAAGCTCTGTCAAGTAGGAATTGTATGGTCATTATTTTCACTTTGTTAAATATGGGAATTAATTCTAACTTGAATTCTATTATAATTCGAGTGCTTAAACACTACTTTTGTTAAGGCTTGTGAGTTTTGTATTCCATAACATGGTAATATTCTTCAATCGTTGGCTAATTTGAAGACACCTTAAATTATCATATCAATTTTCAATCTGATAGGAAATTCTTTTGGAAATGATTATTTTACAGCGACTACCATCATACTTTTCCGTTATCTTCCCATGGCCCCGGTAATAAGTCTAATTTTTTTTTTCTTCTGAAACGTGCTAGTCCGGTTACCCTGGGTTGTCTTTTTAAACAATATTCATTAAACCGACGACCCAGAGTACCCGGATAAAAAACGTGCCTTGAAGTTAGATACTCTTTAAGATACTAATCGACTGATTTACGGCAAGCAACTAATATACGGTTTTCGATCAATATTCTTCCCTTCACATTAGAATTTTACCAAGAAAAATCTTAGAATAATTGTTTCCATTGTCATTTAATTTCTTTTCTCTATTTATTTAAAGAAAAAACGTGTTCTCTCATATCGGTGCTCCATTATGTGATATTGAAATATACATTGCCTACACTGAATGACTTGGTGACGTCATAGTTTACTTCATGAATAGATGGATGATCAGAATTGAACAAATGTTTAAAATTATTTGTCACCCTTTTGGTAGGGCTAGAAAATTAATATTATATTCCATCCTTTGGTAGGGTTAGGAAATTAATATTATATTCCATCCTTTGGTAGGGCTAGGAAATTAATATTATATTCCATCCTTTGGTAGGGCTAGGAAATTAATATTATATTCCATCCTTTGGTAGGGCTAGGAAATTAAATTATATTTCACCTCTTGGGTACGGCTAGGAAAG